GGGGGGTGACCGCCGCCGCCAACCACGCGGTCACCGGTTTTCCACCGGGTCACGTTGGATCCAACATCTACGATGGCGCCGGTATATTCGTGCCCCATAACTGCGCCGGGCTGGGCGAGATCATACAGGAAAGCATGAACGTCAGTGCCGCAAATCGCCGAATATTTCACCCGCATTACCACCTGATTGGGGCCAGGGGTCGGGTCGGGCAGTTCTTCCACCTCCAGAACCTGTTCACCCTTGTATACGGCTGCTCTCATGGTGCCTACTCCTCTGCACGTGCGGTCGCGCTCAGCATAACAGACATTGCCGCAACGACGACTCAAGGGCTGCACCAGAGGGTTAGTATGCCGATCAGCCAGGTTTGCCGGGTTGCTGACGGATGTTCGTGAGGCGATGCGCCCTTGCGCCGGATGGCAAATTACGCTAGCATTTTCTTCGCAATACCCGATGCCCTACGGCGGGAGCCTGGGGCCCAGACTGCCAAGAGGAGACATCAACATATGTTCAACCCCGTTGCATTCTTAAAACCCCGCACGGTTCACGCTCACTGTGATATCCCCTGCGGCATATACGACCCGCTAATGGCAAAAATAGCCGCGCAAACCGTACAGAAAATGGTCCTGCGGATGCAGAACCTTGAAGCCCCCCAGCCCGGAGCGCCGGCCGGCGAACGCCAGACATTCGCCAATACATTCTCCCGCTACGTAACGGTTAAGGAAGAGCACGCCGAGAAGTGCAAGGAAGAATTGCGCATCCTGTGGGCCGACTACGCTTGGCCGAATACCGACGCCAACGAAATCGCCGGGAAGTTCAATTCCGCAATGAAACTGGCCGGTCAGTGCAAGCAGACGGTGAACATGGATAACGCTGAAGCGCTGGTTGCTGCTTGCGACGATATCGCATCCGCATTTTGGTCGACCAAAAACGTGGACTACAGTGATCCCAACGCCGCCGCCCGCTACGGAGCGTAGAGGCATGAACTCGCCTTAGGCCCGGTGCAAGATCACCAGCTGACGCTGCGGGAAAACTGGTAAATCAGTTTTCCCGCTTGCGTTTCTCTCCAGGAGGAAATGGAATGGACAGTACATTCATCGCCCCATTGGTATTGCTGGTTATAGTTTTGCTGGGCGCATGGTATTTCTTCCGCCCGCGCAATTTTCGTACGCTCGCCGAATACGAAAGGGTGGTGGTATTCACGGCCACGGGTCGTTTGAAGGCGGTAAAAGGTCCGGGATTGATTCATTTATGGCCATGGGAAACTGTCCCCGCTGATGCGTTGATGGACCTGCGTGATACGGTGGCCCGGGGTAACATCCTGCATTGCCAAACCTCGGACAACATTGTGGTTCAAATCGAACCGGCGGTGGTGTACAAGATCACCGACCCCGCCAAGACGCTGACTGAGATTCAAAACCCCGAGGCCGGGATCGCGACGTCGGCCCATTCAGCTTTGCGAGCGATCGTAGGCACAATGACCCTGACGCAGGTGATCACAAGCAGGCAGGGTATTGCTGAGCAAATGTCGAACGATATCGCTACTCAGGCGGAACGCTGGGGAATGGATGTAATCAACGTAGAGATTCAGGAGATAAAACTGGACCAGGAAGTGGTTTCGGCCATGAACCTGCGCCGCGCACAAGAGGAAGAATCGGAAGCTAACCGCCTGGCCACTGTGGTGCAAGCCGACGCCAAACGGCAGGCTGCCCTGGCCGACAGCGAGGCTCTACGCACCCTTGCCGATGCGGAAAAATACGCCGTGATTGCCAAAGCCGAGGGCGACAAGACTGCCGAGATTCTGCGTTCGGAAGGTATTGCATCCCTGTATCAGGTGCTGGCCAAGCTTGGTGACGACGTGGACGTTGCCCTCAAGTACGAGCAGATACAGGCGCTTCGCACCATCGGCGAGTCGCCCAACTCCAAGCTGGTCATCGTGCCGGAGAATCTTTCTCAGATAAACGGCTTGCGTGACGTATCACTGCTCGATCGGGCAGTGTAGTCCGAACAATCCGGCGCCCCGTTAGGTACCTGCACGTCGATCCCAGTGGATTCGATTAGCGTTCCAACGAGGACAGCGCTTCGCCAACGGCGGCTATGGTGCGGTCGATGTCGGATGCTGTGTGGGCAATGGATACGAATCCGGCCTCGAATTGCGATGGAGCGATGTAAACCCCGCGTTCCAACATGGCGTGGAAATATCGGCCGTATATTGCCGCATCCGACTGCTCCACCTGCGCCAGGGACGTAATCGGGCCGGGATTGAAGAAACCGGTGAACATCGAAGCCACCCGATTGATCGTGGATGGCATCTCCGCGGTGGCAAACGCATGCGCTATGCCTTCCGTCAAGCGCACCGCTGTCGCTTCGAGCTGATCGTAAACGCCGGGGCGTTGCATCTCGGTGAGCGTGGCCACACCGGCGGCCACTGCAAGCGGGTTGCCGGACAACGTTCCCGCCTGATACATGGGCCCCAGGGGAGCCACCATCTGCATAATGTCGGCGCGACCTCCGTACGCACCCACCGGCAAGCCACCCCCAATGATTTTGCCCATCGTGGTGATGTCCGGGGCGATGCCGTAGAGGGTTTGAGCGCCTCCGTAAGCGACACGAAAGCCGGTAATCACCTCGTCGAATATGAGCAGCGCGCCGTGGGATTCGGTGATGCGCCGCAATCCGTCCAGGAACCCGTCTGCGGGCGGTACGACCCCCATATTCCCGGCCACGGGTTCGACTATCACAGCCGCGATGTCGCTGGGCCAGGCGTCGAACAGGATTTGTACCGACTCCAGTTCGTTGTAGGCCGCAACCAGGGTTTCGGCGGCATAGGATTCCGGAACTCCGGCGCTGGTGGGAACCCCGTGAGTTAGCGCACCAGATCCGGCCTGCACCAACAAACCGTCGGCGTGCCCGTGGTAGTTGCCGGCGAATTTCACAATCTTGGAGCGGCCCGTAAACGCCCGAGCCAGACGTAACGCGGACATGCAGGCCTCGGTTCCCGAATTGACCAGGCGAACCATGTCCACCGAAGGCAGCGCCTGGCATATCATCTCGGCAAGCTGGACTTCCTGCTCCACCGGCGCGCCGAACGACGTGCCGTCTGCCGCGGCACGCTGCACCGCGTCGACGATTACCGGATGGGCATGACCGAGCGCCAGCGGTCCCCAGGACCCGAGGTAGTCGATATATTCGTTACCGTCAACGTCCCAGACGCGGGCGCCGTTTCCGCGGGCGATGAATGGGGGTGTTCCTTCCACGGCGCGAAAAGAACGCACAGGACTGTTGACGCCGCCGGGGATGAATCGTTGCGCCCGTTCGAATAACTGCTGGGACCGTTGTTGTTGCATTGTGGCCGAAACCTCTGTCGATTGGGAGTACGGTTGAGTCGGTTGGTTATTCCGCGCCTCGCAGCCAGCGGGCCACTTCCTTGGCGTGGTAGGAGATGATGATGTCTGCGCCAGCCCGACGGATGGCGGTGAGCAGTTCCAGGGTGATGGGTTTTTCGTCCACCCAACCGGCTCGAGAGGCAGCTTTCACCATGGAGTATTCGCCGCTAACGTTGTAGGCGGCAAGCGGGTAGTCATACCGGTCGCGGGCCTCTTTGATCACGTCCAGATAAGCCATAGCCGGTTTGACCATCACGATGTCTGCGCCTTCGGCGATGTCCGATTCGATCTCGCGCATTGCCATGCGCCGGTTGGCGGAGTCCATCTGGTAGCTGCGACGATCACCAAACTGAGGCGTAGAGTCTGCGGCGACGCGGAACGGTCCATAGAACGATGATGCGTACTTGGCCGCGTATCCCATGATGGGAGTGTCATCGTAGCCGTGGGCGTCGAGGGTTTCTCGGATGGCGCGCACCTGCCCGTCCATCATCGACGATGGAGCCACCATGTCTGCGCCGGCCTGCACTTGCGTCAGCGCCGAACGAGCCAACAACTCAAGGGTGCCGTCGTTATCGACCTTGCCGTTGTCAATCAGGCCGCAGTGTCCGTGATCGGTGTATTCGCACAGGCAAACATCTCCGATGACCATCAGGCCCGGGGCTCTCTCTTTGATTGTGCGGGTGGCCTCCTGAATAATTCCTTCAGGATCGTAAGCGCCGCTGCCAACTGCGTCTTTTTCCGGCGGCAAACCAAAAAGCAATACCGACGGTATCCCCAGCTCGACGATCTCGTCGATTTCTTCATGGAGCCGGTCGATGGACGTGTGGAAGCAACCGGGCATGGGCTCTATCTCATTGCGAATGTTTTCACCGTGGGTTACGAACATCGGGTAGATGAAATTAGCGGTATCCAACCGGGTTTCGCGTACGAGATTGCGCACCGGTTCCTTCTCCCGCAATCGCCTCATGCGCAATTCTGGATGTTTCAGCATGACTACCCTCCGTCTCTCCCGTTCTGAATCAGCGATGTTAGGCCGCGTAGAATTTTACCAGCGCGTCGGCCAGTCCTTCGACGGTGGCCTCGTCAGCGACGACGTTTACGTTCAATCCCAGTTCGACGGCGGTTGCGGCGGTAATCGGGCCGATACAGGCCACCAGGCAATTGTCCAGCAAGGGCCGGTTTTCGCCAATGATTTCCACCAGGTTGCGTACCGTCGAGGAACTCGTGAAGGTTACCACATCAACGCCGTTGCGCAGGACGTCCGCGGCCTTCTGTTCTATGCCGGCAGGGCGCACGTTCCGATATGCGGCGACGCGGCGGACATTGGCGCCCAGCTCGGCCAATCCACTGGCCAGAGCATCCCTGCCGATGGCAGAACCCGGCAACAACACCAGCCGGTCGTTCCAGTCGCGGCCGGACAGTTCGGTGACCACGTCCTCTGACACCGACCGGTGAGGGACAAAATCGGGCTGGATGCCACGGGCAACCAGGGCATCCGAAGTTGCTGGGCCTATGGCCGCGATCGTGGACCCCGCGAAGTAGCGGGCGTCGTAATTCAGCGCTTTCAACCGGTCCCAAACGTGTTCGACCGCGTTGGTGCTGGCAAAAATTATCCAGCGACCGGTAACGCCGGCAGTCTCCTTCAGCAGTTGGTCCAGCTCGGCGTAATCTTCCAGCGGGCCTATTTCGATGGAAGGAAGTTCAATCGGGTCTGCACCCAGCTGCGATAGTGTTTCAACGAAGCGGGAAGTTTGGGTTCGTGACCTGGTAACTAGCACCCGTTTGCCCCAAAGGGGCCGGCGGTCGAACCACCCAACGTTGTCGCGCAGGCTGGCAACCTCCCCGATTACCGCGATCACCGGGGCCGCCATCCCAGCCTGTTTGCCGCGCTCCACGATGTTCGCCAGGGTGCCGGTTACGGTGCGTTGACGCTGCCAGGTTCCCCATTGAACCAGGGCGACCGGAGTCTCGGCGCTCATACCGTTGTCTCGCAACGTGGACAGGATGCCGGGCAGGGCCGCCCACCCCATCAACACCACCAGGGTGCCGCCGGTTTTTGCCAATGCAGCCCAGGGGGTATTGGTTTCGGTCTTGGTTGGGTCTTCGCTGCCCGTAACCACTGTAAACGACGTGGCTATGCCCCGGTGCGTCACAGGTATCCCGGCGTAAGCTGCAGCGGCTACTGCGGACGTTACACCAGGCACGACCTCGAAAGGAACACCGGCGCCGGCGAGTGCGATGGCCTCTTCGCCGCCGCGACCGAACACGAAGGGATCACCACCTTTCAACCGCACAACCTCGTTCCCGGCGGATCCTTCTGCGACCAGGAGTTCGTTGATCTCCGATTGCGATAACGCCTGTCTACCCCGCTCTTTCCCCACAAAAATATGCCGGGACGTCGCTTTGGAGAGTGCCAACAAGGAGGGATCCAGGAGTCGGTCGTACACCACGACGTCGGCGGAGGCCAACACCCGTGCTCCTTTGACGGTCAGCAAGCCCGGATCACCCGGGCCAGCGCCAACCAAATAGACAATTCCGCGTGATGCGACCATGGCAAGATGCTATATCAATTGGGAGATTGAGCGCCAGTCAGCTTGAGGCCAGCAGCGAACCGGCTCCCTGTTGGCGAAGGTCATTCCAAGCCGCAGCCGCCAGTTCGGCGGGCGCTCCCTTGGCGCCGACCACAGTGGCGCGAAACGCGGTAGCCCCGTCGGTGGAAGAAAGAAATACAGTCAACGCCAGATCATCAAGATTGGTACTCACGGTTTGGGCGTAGGCGCCGACGGGAGTCTGACACCCACCTCCCAACGCCTCGAGGAACCCCCGTTCTGCGGCCACCGATGCTTCGGTATCGCAGTGGTTGGCAGCCAGGACAATCTTGTGCATCCAATCGTCGCCCTCCCGGATCTCCACGGCCATTGCGCCCTGCCCGGGCGGGGGCACGAATTCGGTGGTGGGCAGATATTCGGTGATCACGTCTTCCAACCCCATGCGTATCAGGCCGGCGGCGGCGGCGATGGTACCGTCGCATTCTTCTCCAGCAGCTTTCCGGAGGCGCGTGTCCACGTTGCCGCGAATGGGAACGATCTCCAGGTCGGGACGCCGGCGCGCGAGTTGCGCCTTCCGGCGTGGGCTGCTGGTACCGATTCGTTTCCCCTCCGGGAAGTCGCCCAGCGTTGTACCGAGGTGGGATACGAAAACATCGCGCGGGTCGGCTCTTTCCAGCACCGCGCCGATGCACATCCCGTCGGGCAAAGCGGTGGGCATGTCCTTCAGACTGTGCACGGCCATATCGATTTCGCCCTTTTCCAACCGGTACTCGATCTCTTTGACAAAGACTCCCAGTCCCATGCCGGCGAGGGGAGCGCGCTGGTCGGCATCGCCGCTGGTTGTAACCGTTACCGGCAAGAATTCGATGCCAGGATGAGCCGCCTTGAGGATGTTAAGGGTCAGCTCCGTCTGAATCAAGGCAAGGCGGCTGCCTCGAGTGCCGACCCGCACAGTGGAGCGAGGATTGCTATTGGCGCCCACTACCCCGGCCCGTTTCGCCGTCTTCGCCGAAAAGCCGTTCGGCGAGGGGATATACGTTTGCACTGTTGGCAGAACGCAATTCAGCCGTAGGGCGATGCAGCAATTTCTTGACGAGTGCGTTGGTCATGGAGTCGAGGCGCTCCGCGAGTTCGCTGTCCTCATCGGCGCCAAGCATCCTGAGCGTCCGCGCAACCTCGGCCCGTCTGACCGAATCAGCGCGCCGGCGCATGGAGGCGATGAGTTCCATGGTGTCTGAAGAGTTCCATCGCTCAATAAACCGGGAACATTCTTCGTCGATGATACTGGAGGCGCGTTCAACTTCGTGGTTCCAGCTGTCCAACCCGGATTCGGCCAGCTGACCCAGCGCGTCAATGTCGTACAACCGTGCACCGACCAGATCGTTAACGGCCGGATCAACGTCTCGCGGTACGGCGATGTCGATTAGCATGAGCGGTTCGTGAGAGCCGCGGGCTACCAGCGCTTGCCGAACCGAGTCCGTCGAAACCACAAAACCCGGAGACCCGGTACTGCTGATAACCAGATCCGCGCCGGAAAGGCTTTCCGATAAATCTTCGAACGGAGCAGACACGCCACCCAACTCTTTGGCCAGGTCCTCGGCGCGCCAGGCAGTGCGGTTGGTGACCGTTATCTGCTGAACGCCGGCGTCGGCCAGCGCCCGGGCCACCATCCGGCCGGCGTCACCGGCGCCGATGACCAGGGCGCGTTTGTCGTCAAGGCGGCTGAACATCCCCCGGGCCAGTTGCACAGCTGCGCGGCTGACGGACCGCGAATGGCGGCCGATGTTGGTCTCCCGGTGGACGCGGCGGCCGGCGCGGAGCGCGCTGTGGAACATGCGAGTGATCGGGTTGCTGGAGTAACCGGTTTCGCTTGCCACGCTAAATGCGGACCGCACCTGGCCCAAAATCTGCCTTTCGCCGACTATCATTGATTCCAGGCCGCCGGCAACGCGGAACAGGTGGAGGGCACAGTCGGCCTCCCAGAGTTGATACAGATGCCGTTCGAGTTCTACGCGCGGCACACCGGAATATGCGATCAGGAAGTCGCTGATCCTTCCCGCCAGGCTGTCATCATCCGAGTGATAGGTGTAAACCTCGGTACGATTGCAGGTGGAGAGAATCACCGACTGAGGCACGTATTGAGAGAGTTGGCTGAGTGCGGAGGTCAACTGTTCGCGTTCAACGCTCAACTGCTCTCGCAAATCCACCGGGGCGGTACGGTGGTCCAATCCCAGAACGACCAGGCTCAACTCACTGCCTCCGCGGCGCGCATGGCAGCCCGTTTGGCACACCCACCGGGTCTGCAATGAGCCAGATCCGGGCACATTTCGGGAATACCGGGATCCTCGAGTTGACTCAGGATAATCCCGACTGTTTCATCATCGTTACCGTTGTGGGTGAGTTGCAGCAATTCTTCGGTGATCACACATTGCCAGCGGGTGGGGTCGATGGCGGTACGTTTTTCCTTGATGACCCGGCGGGCCTGGGACAGGACACCGGCTAGTTCGGCCCATTGCAAAATTCGCGCCTCGGACAGGACCTCCCGCATTTTGCGAGCCAACGCCGGGCTGGCTCCGCCGGTTGAAATCGCCAATGTGATGGGATCTCGGCGGACGATGGAGGGGGCGATAAACGTACACTGGTCCGGATCGTCAACGACGTTGAGCAACACGCCCCGATTCTCGGCTTCCTCGTGTATCTGGCGATTAACGTGCCAGACGTTGGTGGCCGCCACCGCGATAAACGCGCCGCCCAAGTCACCGGGTTTGTATTCCCGTTGAATCCAGACCACATCGCCGTGTTGAACAGCCCGCTTGATCCCGTCGGTAACCTGCGGACTGATTATCTTGATGTCGGCGCCGGCGTCGCGCAGCGCGGCGATCTTGCCCTGGGCAACGGTGCCGCCACCCACGATGACGCAGCTTTTGCCAGCCAGGTTGAGGTAGACAGGATAATATTCAGGCATCGTTGAAATCCACTACTGATAATACCCGTGCCGGCGACAATCCAATCCGGATTTACTGGGCGACCGGTTCGGCCAGCGCTTCGGCAGCCTCGGGCGAATCCCAAACTGACTCGTAGTCCTCTACAAAATACCTTACGCGGGTCTTTTTGTACTCACGGGTGCTGTAAAGGAGCAAGTTTTCGGTGATTCCCGCGGCCTGGCCGATCTCGCGCCCAATGGCCTCGCATTCGTCTCGAGTCGGTGCGTGCACCATCGTGAAATGGCTATATTCCCAATCGGGAAACGTGGGGCGTTCGTAGCAATGGGTCACCGCCGGGTTTTCGGCCATGATCATGCCAACCTCTTCGGAACGTTCGGGCGGCACTTTCCAAACGATCATGGCGTTGGCGCGGAATCCAGACCTGCGGTGATGCAACACAGCGCTGTAACGGCGCATCAATTTGCGCTCCTGGTACTCGGCCAGCTGCTGGAAAAACTGGGGAACAGTCAGCCCCAACCTCTGGGCGATGCCAACGAAGGGGTGTGATTCAAGCGGAAGGTCTTCCTGGGCTTCGCGTATCACCTGTTTGTCCCATTCGGTAATGTCCTGCGCCTGGTTCCAGTCTGCAGCCGGCCTTTTAGTCTGGCCGATACCGTCCGGGCTGTAATTGAAAGCATCGCTGCGACGTTTCACCATATCGAAGTTCACGCCAATCTTGAAAAATCTGATGGTAGGCATGATGCGATATTCGATGGCCCCGGTCTGAGCGGCCATCCAGCGCACGGTTTGCTCCAGATCGCCGTCGGGCGGGACCGCCAACGTGAACCACAGATTGTAGTACGAGCCTTCGCGGGCGTAGTTATGGCTGACTCCGGGATGCCGATTGATAAAGATCGCTCCGGGGTGGAGGTCGTCCTGGCCGTAAGCAAAGGCGACGAGGGTCGTTTTATACCCGAGGCGGCGAGTATCGAAAATCGCGCTGATTTGCCGCACCACGTTCTGTCGTTTGAGTTCGGCGAGGCGCGTCAGTACCTCAGATTCGGTGATGCCCAACTCGTTACCGATCTCCAGGTACGGCCGTTCGACAACAGGGAAGTTGCTCTGAATGATGTTGAGCAATTTGCGGTCGACCATGTCCATGGTGTCGGTGGTCATCTTGCACTGCCTCCGGGCGTCGTCAACCGGCCGGCGGGCCGGGCTTCGGAGCCTTTGTCGTCATCTGCCAGCCTGGCGCCGTAGGCATCAACCAACCCCATCAACACCCGGTCGGAAATTTCTATCACCTGCCGAAGCCGGTCAGGGTGTACCGATTCTACGACAGTCTGCCGGAAGAACAAGAATGCCTGAACGCTGTCGGACAATGGCACGTTGCGGTCGGCCATTTCGGAGCCGTATTCGTGGCCCAACATGTGGGTTTCGGATAGCGTTTCGCCCTTGCGCCGACTCCTGTCGCGCAAACCGTCCTGAACCAGCAACGACAGCAACCTGCGTCCGAAGAGGCGCATTCGATCGCGCCCTTCTTCCTGGAAACTCTGCATCCACGGTTGCGACGATAGGTCAGACTGACTTAGCTTGCGGCGAATTTTGCGCAGGGCGGTACCTTCCGGGTCTGCATCGGAAACTGGAGAAGAACCAACAACTGGGGATCGGCCCATCAGGGCTTCCACGTCTTCTCGCCAAAATCTACGATGGCCTCCGGGAGTACGGTATACCCTCACCTGGCCTCGGTCTGCCCATTGGCGCAGGGTGGCGTCGTTCACTTCCAGCGCCCGACTGACTTCTCCGAGGGACATCCAGCGGGCGGTATTTTCGGTATTCGTGGCCATCAAACCTGTAGAAATCTCAACAAATAGCTGGCTTCGTTAGTTTTGCGTGGAAATCGTACCACACGCCCACTGCCTCGTCAACGAATTTTGGCAATGGTAACAGTTAAGACTCGACGCGTGATTTCCATGCCACTCCGTCATTCCGGCCTTGAGCCGGAATCCAGAGAAGTCTTTAAACCGCAATGTTGCTTATCCTTGGTTTCCTGGATTCCCGCTTTCGCGGGAAAGACAGGTTGAGGCCAGGATACTACCTCCAACTCTGAACAGTTACTGGCATTGCCCATCTAAAGAGCGCAACCGAAGTCAATCGATCCCTGGATGCTATTATTTAACAATCAGGTGGTGCATGGATTGTACACGGATCATGGTTCCCGCGGATGGTTCCGGTTATGAATCTGACTTCGTTACGAATACGCTCGCGTGAACAATTGATTAACCAACTGGCGCGGTCGCTGGACGATGCGCCGGTACTGGAAGCTTTGCGTCATGTGCCGCGCGAGGCGTTCGTTCCCGATGAACTCCGCGCAGTGGCCTATTGCAACGTCCCGCTGGCAATTGGGCATGATCAGACCATTTCCCAACCGTTGATGGTGGCAACGTCGGCGTCGGCTTTGCAGCTGCGCGGAGACGAGCATGTTCTGGAAGTGGGCGCCGGCAGCGGTTATCAGGCGGCGGTGCTCGCGGAGTTGTTGCCATTCGGGATGGTCACCGCGGTAGAGCGCATACCCGAATTGGCCACGATGGCGCACCAAAATCTCGCCCGATGCCGCATCGCCAACGTAGCGGTGCTGTTGGTGGAGCACGCTTTGGGTGCGCCCGAACGCGGGCCGTATGATGCAATCCTGGTGTCCGCTGCAGCCCCCAGCATTCCGGATGCTTTGGTCGCCCAACTGAAGCCTGGAGGCAGAATCGTCGCTCCGGTGGGAGACCGCGAAAAACAAACCCTGGTCAGATTGACGGTAACTGCGGGCTGCCACCTCATAGAGTCGTTGGGGCAATGCCGGTACGTACCGCTGATCGGGGACGGCGCCTGGCCGTCAGACAACTCATAGCAAACAGCCGCCGCGACGCAGGCGCAATATGGCATAATGTTCAGGCGTTCGGGCCACCGAACCAGCGACCGGGGACGCTTCAACGGTAGTTTTATTTCCAAATGAATCGGGAGGGAAGATGGCTGGCAAAATCGACATTCGTCAAATTAACCACGTAACGACCATGGTGAAGGACACGGCCCGCGCCATGGAGTTCTACAACAACCTGCTCGGCATCAAGCAGATCCAGAGCCAGGTAGACAACCCGGCAATCACCTGGCTGCAGCTCGACAACGGCATGATGGTTCATCTGATTGAAACGGACGAAGCGCCCGCCAAGCCCGGCAATATTCACCACGCTTTTCAGGTGGACAACCTGGAAGACACCCAGGCGACGCTGGAAAGCAACGGATTTGAGGTATTGCGCGGCGGCATCCGATACGACGGACAGGCGTACTTCTTCATTCAGGACCCAGACGGCAACAGCGTGGAATTCTGCACGGCATCCGGCTACGCTCCGGCGCCGCCGCGGCCGGCCTAACGCCGACGCATCCGGCATCAGCCCCCATGTCGTCAGACAACATCATCCTGGTTGGGTTTATGGCTACGGGCAAGAGCCACGTGGCCCGTATCATATCCCGAGCCACCGGGAGGCAGGCGGCTGATCTGGACGAAGAGATCGTGCGGCGTGCCGCTAAGCCGATTCACCAAATCTTCAGCGACGATGGAGAAGCGGTATTCCGGGCCATGGAACGCCACGCCGCATTTTCGCTATGTGAAGGGGAAGACAAGATTATCGCCGCCGGCGGCGGCGCGTTCGCACAGGAATCGACGCGAAAGGTTTTGCTGGACAACGGAACGGTGTTCTGCCTTACCGCCAGTCCCGAAACCATCTATTACCGGATTTCCAGGGGTAGTATAAGCGCGGCGGTGCGCCCCATGCTGGCCGGTGGTGATCCTCTGGAGAGAATCCGACAGCTTCTGTTGGAACGCGCTGCTGCCTACGACCTGGCTCACCATTCCATACCGACGGACGACCGAACGCCCGAACAGGTCGCGGATGAAAATCCTGCAGATTTATCAAACAGAAACCCCGCAAACAGAATCCCGGACTCCTCCGGATGCTGGGAGACCAACACAAATGACGATCCAGGAGAACCTCGATGGCTCAAACTGACCTTGCGGCGACCGTACATCATTCTGGGGGAAGCTACCCGGTCATTGCGGATTGGGGGGTGATCGACCGCCTGGGCGATTACATCAATGATCTTGAATTGGGTAAAACCGTCTACATAATCACGGACGAAAACGTAATGCGGCCTTACGGGCGCAATGCGCAATGGGCGTTGCAGCGAGCGGGTATCGCCGCCCACTGTTTCGTGATTCCGCCCGGCGAGACCAGCAAGTCATTCCAGCTGGCCCAGGAAATATACGAATGGCTGGTCGGCCTCAAAGCCGAACGGGGTCAGCCCATTATTGCGATCGGCGGCGGCGTGTCGGGCGACCTCGGCGGTTTCATCGCAAGCACCTTCCTGCGGGGCGTGCCCTTCGTGCAGGTTCCCACCAGCATGGCGGCTATGGTCGATGCATCCATCGGTGGCAAGGTGGCCGTCAACCTTCCCCAGGCCAAAAACATGGTGGGCGCGTTTTACCAGCCCCGGGCCGTGCTCGCCGACGTAGGGGCCCTCTCCACCCTCGGCAAGCGTGAATTGGCAGAAGGTTGGGCCGAAGCCATCAAGCATGGTCTCATTCTCGACCCATCGTTGGTGGATGTGTTTGAAGAACACGCGGAAGCCCTGATGGACGTTGAGCCGGAGATCTCCACCGAAGTCATCCGGCGCAGCATGGCCATCAAAGCCGACATCGTCAGCCAGGACGAGCGCGAAAACCCTCGGCATCCGCATCCTGCTCAACTACGGTCACACCATCGGCCACGCCCTGGAAGCATCCACCGAGTACGGACGCTTCATGCACGGCGAGGGCGTTTCGGTGGGCATGATGGGCGCTGCCCGTATCGCCCGTGAGATGGGTATGATTGGCGACGACATCGTAGAACGCCAGCGCACCCTGCTGCAAAGGTTCAACCTGCCTATCACGGCGCCGGATGTCGACCTGGCCGCAGTACGCAGCGCCATGTCCCTGGACAAGAAAACCGTGGGCGGAGCCAACCGGTGGGTTCTCCTGGAGGATGTCGGCCAAGCCACGGTGCGGCGCGATATTCCCACCGAACTGGTCGACGATACCCTGGCGTGGCTGACCCGCTAACTACCCGGGTGACCTAACCGGGAATCGTCGCCTTTCGGCGTCTCTTTGCCCGCAGCATCGCCAGTCGCCGTCCCCGCCGCAGCTGTTTGCCGGCAGACACGGCCAGCATACACAGGATTGCTACGGCCACCGCACCCGAGGCTCCCAGCAGCAAAGCCTGCCCAATCTGGGCCAGCACTGCAGAGCCCAGCAGTTGGGCCAGCTGATTCAACCCGACTGCGACGCCGGCGTTCAGCACCGTAACTCCGAATAAGCCCAGTATCCGGCTGGCGTTGACGAACCGCGTCGCCAGCGCGCCCAGCTGGGTGCCCACCGATGCCGACGCAAACATGATGATCGCGATCACTGGGTCGACATTTCCACGCAAGGAGTACAAAAACGCCCCCAGCGTTCCAGTGATGATAATCTGAAACAGATCGGTTCCGATGGCCACTGCCGCTGGCACTCCCAGCCCGTACACCCAGAAACGGCATCAGAATGAACCCGCCACCGGCGCCCAACAGAAGGGCGATGAATCCAATCGCAAAACCGGCGGTCACCGGCACGAATGCGGACATCTCATCGATGCCCGATTTCCGAAACGGAATGCGAGTCGAAATCCGCCCCTTCCCGGGGACCCAAATTACCGCTGGGCCAATCCGCAAGTCGTGCAGCCGTTTAGAAATACCACCGCCCGTCTGCCCAACCTGTTTGCGATTCAGCCTCCGAAGCCAGCTGCCGGTCATCCACGAACCCAACCCCAGCAACAGCACAAAATAAACCAGCCCTATGACCAACCCGCCCAGTCCAGCCTGCTCCAGTACGGCGTTCACCCGCTCTGCAATCAACCCGCCCGGAACCGTGCCACAAACAATGAGGATCGCCAGGCGGATATCCACGTTGCCCAACCGCCGGTGCCTCAAGGTGCTGGTAATCGCTGTGCCCATAACCATCAGCAGCCCGGTGCCCACTGCATAGATAGTTGGGACGCCCAGCACGAGCAAACCGCCAGTGATCAGGAAGCCGCCGCCAACGCCAAAAAAGCCGGTCATCGTGCCAACTATCATGCCCAGCAACGCCAGCAACAACGGCGAGATGGAAACGTCGGCGATGGGAAAGTACACTGCGATCCGTCTGCTGGTTCAGTCGCGCCGGATCGAGCTGTAAACCTGCGCCGTCAACGACACAACGCGTCCTACCAGATCCCAGAATATGAACAGCGCCACCGCCGTCACGGCCATTGCCGCCACCACCGAAATCGCCCAAACGCCGGCATTGGCGCTCAGCGCGACCAGAAAATCGGATAATGCCAGGTACATCACGTACCCCTCAAACGGCGCATTGCGTTCGGGTGGACACTGCGAGTAAATTGCTGGAATGACTAAGGAAAAATTCAGTTTCAGGCTGTCCGGTACCGACGGCGCGGCGCGGCTGGGGCAGATTACCACGCCCCACGGTACGGCGCAAACGCCCATATTCATGCCCGTGGCGACCCAGGCAACCGTAAAGGGCCTGACGTTCGATGAAGTCCGAAACGCGGGCGCGGAAACCGTTCTGTCCAACGCCTATCACCTGTACCTGCGGCCCGGCGTCGACCGCATCCGTGATGCCGGCGGACTGCACAGATTCATGGGATGGGCAGGGCCGGTCCTGACCGACAGCGGCGGTTACCAGGCGTTCAGCCTGGGTGCCCTACGCCGTATCAACGATAACGGAATTCTGTTCCGTTCGCACATTGACGGCAGCGAGCATCTGTTTACCCCCGAGGTGGCCATCCGCAACCAGCAACTCTTTGGCGCCGACATCATCATGTGCTTTGATCAATGCGTGTTCTCCGCTGGCGACCGATCGGACGTGCGGGCAGCAATGGATCGAACCCACCGATGGGCGCGGGTCTGCTACGACACTCATGCGCCGACGGCCTACTCCGGGGTGCAGGCCCTGTTCGGGATAGTACAGGGCGGCACGATCCCGGAATTCCGGGATGAATCTACGGAACTGGTCACCAGCATTCCGTTTGACGGATACGCCATCGGCGGCCTTGCGGTGGGAGAAACCAAAGAGGAAATGCACCGGATTACTCGTCAGGTTTGCGAAGGGTTGCCCAGCGACAAACCGCGATACCTGATGGGTGTCGGTTCACCTGAAGATCTGGTAAACGGGGTGGCGCTGGGCGTGGACATGTTCGACTGCGTGCTCCCCACGCGGGTGGCGCGCAACGGTGCCCTGTTCACTCCCACCGGTCGCATCAATATTGCCAACCGCCGCTATGGCGATCAGGATGTGCCGTTGGACGAGACCTGCGATTGTTACGCCTGCCAACATTATTCGGCAGCATACCTGCGTCATCTGTTCAAGGCCGGGGAAATGCTGGGGCCTAGAATGGCGTCGGTACACAACCTGCGCTTCGTGCTGCGCCTCATGGAACAGATGCGGGATGCAATAGCCGGCGGGCGGTTTGTCGAATTTCGCGATCGGTTCCTTGGCGCATATCAACCCACCGACGAACAAAGCCGGCAAACGCAAAAACACCGCTGGATCAGAGAGCGGGGAGTCTAGAACGAGAGGCGTCTCGCAAAAGCGCCGTCAGGCTTCACGCCGGTGGCCGAGCAGGGCGGCAACGATGTCTCCAACGACGGCGTCAACCCGCTGTCGGATGGCTGACTCATCCAACGCTGCGACCGGATGCTGTAAGTACACCGACCCGGTGTAGTCCGGCCTCCCCAATGAAACGATGTGCTGTTCCGCGGCGGAGGAAAAAGCCCGGGTATGAACCACCACGGTCCTCACGCCCCGGTCTTCCAGCTCGATGGCGTCGCGCAAACTGCGCGCCACACAACTCCCTCAATCCCCCACCGCGGTGACCACGAAATCGCAATCCGCCAACTCGTCGATGATTTCCGGAGCAGCGGGGGCAGAAAACACCCATTTGGAACGTACCAGAGAGTCTGTCATCCCATAATCGTCGGCAAGACGCTGTTTGATGGATTCCAGGATTACATCGGCGTTGCCCTTGCGGTTATCGAGGAAACCGCCGATGCGGCCCTCCAGGGTTTCCAATGGCGGGGCCGGGCGACGCTCCGGTTCTTCCTGCCGGTCGGTGGGATCCAGCAGGCCAAGCGCCGCCATGCGAGATTGCAGATCGGATGATCCGTTGGTCATATTGAGTCTCCTGAGACAGACGTCAGGTGGCGCGCACCGGGGCGGAAGTGATGCGGGAACCCCAACCGGGGATGTATAGCGAGTGTCTACCGGCGCCGCCGGCCACCATGATGTGAATGTCCTCGGCGCGCCGCACCACAGGTACCATTGCGTCGTCGTCGTCGCGGTCGATCCAGCGCGGCCAGAGGGTGTTACGGTGGGCGTGGCGACCATGTATGCCGCCCAGTTTCAGCAGCGCCAGCGGCTGTCGGGCCAGCTCATAGAGGTAAGACCGCACGTCGTTCTTGTTCCAGCCGGCGCTGGAGATGATGTCGGCGTGTTCCGGACCCAACACCAGCAGCACGTCTCCCATGACGTGAATGTTGTTGCAACCGGGTATGGCCATCGACAAGGCGAACGTCGTGAGTAAATCTTTGGGGTTATCGGCGCCGTGATTGTTCAGGTTGTGTGGGGCTTCCGCGGGGTGTACGGTGACCACCGATTGCTCCGCCATGTAACCGTGTTCAACATGATAGGGTTCCCAGGGGTTATCTGCCTCATTTTCGGCGATGCAATAGGTGTACTTGCCGGGGTGACCGAAGGTGGCGCGATCCTCGTCGCCGGGCAACGCACCGCCCAGGTTGGTGAGGGCCAGCTTAACGGCCCGGCCGATGGTGGCGTTAGCACGGTTGCCCTGTCCGAAACAGTTGCCGCCGCTGTTCATGCCCAGTTCTCCGGCGGCGGGTCCGTTGACGATCACCAGGGGCGTGGCGATGTGGGTCGAGCACTGCACCGAAGCGAGGTTGAACCGGGGCAGCAACAGCGCCTCGATGGCTGCGATTACAACTGGAAAATACTCGGGCAGGCAACCCGCCATGACTGCGTTGGCGGCCAGCTTTTCCACGGTAGCCCGTCCTCCGCGCGGGGGAATCTCACCGACGAGATCGAGGGGAGAACGGCCTACGGATTCAAGAAACGTCCTCACGCGATCCGCGGTGGGCGGAACGATGGGCAACCCGTCCGTCCACCCGGCCTCGTAGGCCAGGGCGAGAGATTCATCATAGGTGTCCAATCCGGCCATCGCCATAATCAGGATTTACAACAACAATCCATCCACCGGTACCAGTTTTTCTTCGATTGGGTCGACGGCTAAACGCAGATCCTCCAGGGTCGTTGCCCCTAAAAGGAATAATTCCTCGGGACCAAATATCACTCTGGCCATCCCGTTGCGGCCCTCGGCGGCGAATGTCGCCCAGCTTGTATCGTAATTTACATATTCGCCGCTGGCGACACGAAATCTGATTTGTTGGACCGGTCCTAGCGAAAGCCTATTCAACAACGACGGCGGTAGCATGGTGTACGTGGCGCCGGTGTCAACCACAGCGTCCACCATCGCGGGAACCGATGATTCCAGGTTACCCACTTCCAAAGGTACGCTGAATGTGCCCACTTAGATCGCTCCGTGAGAGTGGCAGCTGGCTACCACACGATTCAGTATACCTTGTACTGCTCAAGTACTTCAGCGTCCAGATGCAGACCCATGCCGGCCTCGGTGGGAGCGACGATTTCACCGTTGTCCCATTCCGGCAACACGCTGTTGAGCTGGTAGTACACCGGGTCGCGTTCTTCTTCGAACACTTCTACAAACAACCCGTGGGCGTGAGCGGGCAACAATTGCACCGCCAGTTGTGGTTCTTCGTGGTGGGCCATCCTGACGCCTCGCATCTGCGCCGCCCCTGCCACTCGACGCCACTCGGATATGCCGCCGCAGATCGCCGCATCCACATTGAGAATGTCCACTGCTTCGGCATCCATCAGCCGTTGGCAGCCCCAAGAACTGCTCTCTCCCTGGCCGGCAGCCACGGCGATTCCAGTACGCAATCGCACCTGACGCATGTCGTTGTCGGCATCCTGCCAGCGGCACGGTTCTTCCAGCCACGCCAGCCCCATTTCCCGGGCGGGAGCAGCGAATTCCAGGGCTTCGTCCAAAGTCCAGGCCTGGTTGGCATCACAAACTATGATGAACTGATCGCCCAACGAGTCCCTGATGGCGCGAACCCGCAACAGATCATCGGCGACGGAGACTCCGCCAACCTTCAACTTGACCCCGCCGATTCCGCGTTCGCGCTGATGCAGCAAATCCTGCACCATGTCCTCGGTATTGCGACCCTGGACGTAGTAGGCGAAACGCACCACCGGAGCCCGATCGGCGTAGCCACCGAGCAGCGAACGCACGGGGACGCCGAGCGTCTTGCCGGTAATGTCCCACAGGGCCACGTCGATGGCCGCGATGGCGCGCATGGCGATGGCCTTGTCACTGATGTGCGGTGTCAGGGCGAACATCTTTTGCCAGCAACGTTCGATGGCTGTGGGATCCTCACCAAGCACCGCATCCTTCATTGGGCCAACCACCAGGTCTTTCAGTAGTTGGTATCCGGTGCGCTCGTCTCCCGAATACACTTCGCTGATCAACCCTTCGTCGGTGTGGACACGGGTGACGATGGTGCAACGCGATTCAATCTGGTACACGCTGCCGCTGAATCGGGTGCTTAGGGGAATTCGAACAATGTCGGCTTCCACGTCGGTTATACGCATGTTGGTACCGCCTTACGAACTTCGAAGTCGTGGGAAATTATACCCCCTCCAATCGATTCGGATTCGGCGCTGGAAATCAAACTATGCAAAAATCCCGGGTTAGAGCAAAACTCTTAAACAATTGCCCGATTAGCCGATGTTACAATGCAATCAGAGGCAGTTTCGCACACCACTCGCTCCCGACGAGGAATTTATGAATACGGTCAAAACATTCTTTTTTACTGATGGTGCTGACCGGCCTGCTGTTGGTGATTGGGGCCGCAATCGGTGGAGAGGTGGGCATCGTCGTGGCGCTGGTCTTCGCCATCGTGATGAATTTCGGCGCCTACTGGTTCAGCGACAAGATAGCCCTGGGAATGGCCCATGCCAAACAGATTACGCCCGAGGATGATCCTCAGCTTTTCGTTTTGGTCGAGGAGCAAGCCAGACTCGCCAACATGCCAATGCCCAAAGTTTACGAGATAGACTCGGAATCACCCAACGCATTCGCCACCGGCCGCAGCCCGCAACGGGCGGCGGTAGCCGTAACTACCGGCATTCGCCGCATCCTGACTCGCGAGGAACTGGCCGGCGTAATGGCCCACGAGATGGCACATGTGGGCAACCGCGATACTCTGATCATGACCGTGGTGGCCACCATCGCCGGCGCAATATCCATGCTGGCGTTTATGGCGCAGTTTGCGGCCATCTTCGGCGGCATGGGCGGGGGCGGACGTGATCGGGGCGGCAACATCATCAGCCTGCTCATCATCGCGATAGTAATGCCGCTTGCCGCGACCATCATCCGCATGGCGATTTCACGTTCCCGGGAATTCCAGGCTGATATCACCGGTGCGCACAATTGCGGCAACCCCGAAGCTCTGGCCAGAGCGCTGGAAAAGCTGGAAATGGGCGTAGAAGCGCGGCCCATGAAAGTGAACGAGGCGGCATCACATCTGTTCATCGTAAATCCATTGAGCGGGCGCTCCATGGCACGGCTGTTCTCGACTCACCCCCCGGTAGAAGAACGGGTGCGGCGGTTGCGGGCCATGACCATCCGGCCCAATTTCTAAATCTACCCAGCACCCGGAATCCGGAGCGCCCGCCGGTTGGCGGGCGTTCGTTTTTGCCTCGGGACAGCTTGCGAGTCAGAAGATCGCGATGGGATTCACCGGGCTTCCGGTGACGTGCCGAAGGCGCAGGGGTCCAATGGACAACATGAACTCGTAGCGGTTGTGGCGGGCCGCTGCTTCGGATACTTCTTCCAGGTTGGCGTTGTCGATGAGCCAAACGCCCAGGTAAACCAGGCAGGCAATGTGCACCGGGGAGACGATGTTTGCGTATTCGTTGGGTCGAACGTCGTTGGAGGTGTCGGTGCCCAGCATCGCGATTCCCCGCTCCTTGAACCACGGCGCACATGCCACGTGACAGGCCACCGACGGCTCGGTGGGCGGCAACGGGCCTTCCTGAATGCGCCGGCGGTAGTTGCCCGTTCTGACCAGCAGGATATCGCCGGACTCCACGGTGACGCCGTGGTCTCGCTCCGCAGCGTCCAGGTCTTCGGGCATCACCGGGGCGTTCGGCGGCAACCAGTCGACGCCGCGAACTTTGGCTATGTCCAGCAGGACGCCGCGGGTTACCAACCCCTGGGCGGTCAAATCGATGGCATGGCTCTGGGCGCCTTCCCTGGAAGTAACCACACCCGCCGGCACGCCGTTGTACATCGACCCCTCGAAGGAGTAATGCGACAAAGCATCGATGTGCGTGATGGTCTGGCCGTGGAAAACCATGCCGATGAATTCGGCAGCCCCGCGCCGGGAGTTACGCCGTTCCAGCGGGTCGGTATCGCGGCCTTCGCCACTGTCAACCATGTAGCGTTGTACCTGGAACGAGATGTCCGGTGTAATCTCAGTGGTTATGGGGCGAGCGCAGCTGACGGTTTCTCCAGACTGAACCAATGCTGCAGCCTGCGTCCGTTTGGCCGGGGTGATCAGGTTGAGAGCGCCCAGCTGGTCCTGCTGACCCCATCGTCCCCAGTTGTTTTCGCTTTTGTACCAGTCCAGAACCTGTGATTCGTTGGGTACGCCTGAAAATGCCATGACTCCCTCCGTTGGAAATTGACCTGGAAATTCACCGGCGACGGTTCGTTGTTGCCCGCATTTTACACCACGGAAGGCGGTGAACTGCCTTCGCCTCTACTATTGTCCGGCTCCGTCGCGCGATAGCTCCGCCCCCACAAATTGGGGGTAACCACGGAGGAATTCGCCGGCAGTGGCAGGACGCCGACCCTCAAGCTGAAGTTTGTTGACGGTCAGGATGCCCGCGCCGGTTCCGATTGAGATTTCAGTACCGTCGGCGCTGACCACCAAACCGGGCGCGATGTCGGATGTCGCAGCGGCAGCAACATCCAGCAATTTCAGCTCCTTGTCTTCCCAACGCGTATATAGCCCTGGCCAGGGTGCATAAGCCCTCCGCCGACGCGCCAGCAACTCAGCCGGAAGCTCCCAGTCCACGGCGCCGGCAGCACGTTCGATCTTGGCTGTGTAGGTGGCCCGGGCATCGTCCTGCGGTTGAGGTATTATCGCGCCGGTCATCCAATCGCCCAGGTTTTGGAGCAGGAGGTCGGAACCGTCGGAAAAGAGCGCCGCCGTCAGTGAATCGGCGTCGTCATCCGGAGCTACGACGCGAGTGCGCTGGGCGATGATGGGGCCGGTATCCATACCCTCGTCCATCAGCATCAGGGTGACGCCGGTAGTGTCGTCTCCGGCGAGCAGGGCGCCGACGACCGGGGACGGCCCGCGGTATGCCGGGAGCAGCGACGGATGAAGATTCAGGCAGCCGAGGTTTGGCAGATTCAATACCGGGGTGGGGAGAATTCGCCCGTAAGCGGCTACTACAATAAGGTCTGGAGCAAAAATCAGCCACTGCTCGGACCGCTTGGGCAACGCTTGGCGGTGGAGATCCGATCGGGCGGAACATCACTGTCCACTTGGTTTCTGTGA